CAAACACAATGGATACTACTGAATGGAAATCTTAGTTTGTCTTAATGTTACAACCTCAGATTATCTTGTTCTTCTTTCTGAATAGCGTATATCTCAGAACCTTGAAATCAGATCTTTATGCACACATCTTGAACACAAGAATCACCATAACCCTCGGCTGATTGACACACAGAAGGAAGGTGAAAGGTTAGACTTTCATTTCTTTTAAGGAAATGAAGCTAAGATCTTTGAAAACTGGAGATCTGCAGCAACCATGTTACAATAACACTCTGAGGAAATCCTAAAATTGTATATTTGACATTTGTAACAAAGAAGCAGCAAATCAGTCATTTATCTTTTCCCTCTTCAGAATGAAACAAAGAAAATCACTTACTTATATTTCTGTAGAGGCCTTGGAAGCTATTTTTTTTAAAAAAAGGATATTTTCACTTTCTTTCACATTTATATCTCAATAAGGAAACTGCTGAAAAACTGCACAATGATAACAAGCCAAAAATGCCAGACTGCTTTGAATTTGGCAGAACCGACCCTAATATTTTACATGTAGACTTACTGAGGTGAATGCCATTAATAATATGGAGGAAGGACAGGAAATTGAGCAGTTGGGGTGTTTCCTTCTGGAAAGTTGTTCTGTTCATCTAATGAGACATAGATTTCACAACTTAGGAGGTAGCTAAGAAAGCCAGAAGCTTGGACAGTGGAAACTGTGAATATATCATTCCTGCTGCCAAGGGAGGGCAGATTGACTTTTCAAAGTCTGGTCCTATTGATTGAACCAATATATTCAAGACACATAATTTTTTGTACTTTGTAGTTGAAGGTAAAAATAAATTATTAAGTCTTATGATTAGATCTTTGCAGATGCTCTCAAAATCCATAGGTTCTAGAATGCCCGAACAACTCTATTTTGTTTGCAAAGCAGTTGCTGTAAACCTGAAAATTTTATGGAAAAAATTAATTGTAACAGGTGCAAACCAAATTCCCATTCTCCAAGCAACGTGCTTTTCAATAGGTAATTCCCATTTAATTCACACTTGGATACGAATAGCTACTAATGCAAGTTTTAGATCACCAAGTTTTCTATCATTTCTGATCCAATGGAGAATATTTAGAAAGTACCCACAGCTTTAAAAAAAACATTTAAATGATTCTAATTAGGAGTTCCAAAAAAAAAAAAAAAAAGGAGACCGGATTTATGTAGGTTGATATTTTTGGCAAGTGGCAGTTAGTACACATTAGTCTTCTTGAAAATGAAGATTAAATCCAGATTTCTTTTCCCCTCCCTATAAAGCAGCACGTAATTGCTAGATTTCAATTTTTAAAAAATCCAGCAGTTGTGCTGCTGGATTAAAGAGAAGAACTTAATATACAGAATTTTGGAACACTAAACAAGTTTTGCCTTTTTATGCCTTTTCTCTTACTTGGACCGTGTTTGTTTAAATATTTATCAATTTGACCGTTTCTAAATGCAATTTAATTTAAAATCACTTAAAACAATACAAACTGCATGACATTATTGAGATTATACTTTCAAAGAGTTCACAAAGTTTGAAAAAAAAACTTTCATTCATAAGGAGTTCTTCTGATGAAGAAATTTTGTAAGATAAAAGTAGCCAGTGGCATGCCTATTATAGTGGATTCTACAAAAAAGGCATTTTGGCACAGATAAGAGTGACACAGGCTTTGGAGTTGCACAATAGCCTAAAACATGATATTTGGAGTATTTTGCCTCTCAAGGTGAGACTTGCCCCAACCTCTTGGTCTTTGAACAGGGTCTGAAAATCTGTCTTTGGCTCGGGATCTGATGGGAAACTCTCATTGGTTCTTTTATCTGCTGTGTTGTTAATGTTAATGTTTTACTCTCCAGGCCTAATATTTTAATGTTCATTTTAATGTTTTACTTTCCCAGGATAATAATAATAATGTTCCTAACCTTTGAATTCTTATTTAATATGTTATTTATGGAACTGTAACCTACCCAGAGCTACTTCATAATGAGGTAGGCGGCATCTAAACTTAACAAACAGACAAATAAATAAATTACCAACAATCACATAAGAAAAATCAGAGTAACACGCTGAGGCTCTACATTTTGGGTTGGTTTTAGGGTCCAAGGCCATTTCGCGCTAGAGTTATAGGAAGCACTTCAAACAGACAAAGGGCATCCTGCTTTCTTTGAGCACAAAACATATGATACCATTCTTCAAATTTCCTGTCTGAATGCACAGAGGTTAGAGACAAATGGGGCAAGGGCTATGGGCATAGCCCCGTACTCTCCATCCTTTGAAGTCTTCCTATATTCCAATATTGAGCCATAAAGCTGAAAATGGTATTCTGTCTAAAAACACCAACTGAAATCTCAGCTAGAGATTACCTTATGCAAAGTTCAAGTTTTTAATTATCATATTTCAAAATCCTGCACAAAATTACCTATGTTAATACAAGATCAAATAGAATGCCTGCTTTCAACTTCACAGAAGCATTCTAATGTCTGGGTTTTTTTTAATTTTAAAGAAATGCTTTCAAGAATTTTTATACAGGGAGGAGAAATGGAACGTTGTAGAACATGACACAACAAAAACAAGGTTTGCGTTAAAAGGAAAAATGTGCTTCACACTTAGTTTAATATCCAAAAGATTGTGTTGAATTGTGAACTTTCAGCAACTAATTCATACTGATGTAAGTGCTCCAACAAATCTGGGCTAATGATATAAGATGTGCAGAAAGGTGGGAAATGACAACAGGATGGAAATGGCTAACACTTTGATGCTTTCCCAGGATAAAAGTATTTTCTCCCCATCTATGAACTCCTCTTATCTTTTGGAATCTAATCTGCCGTGTCTGCAGCAAACTGTTCTATCTCCCCTCTGACTGCTGATCTGTCACAGCAGCAGCCAAGCAGATTAAAATTAAGAAAGAAACACAGCTCTGAGGTCATTAGAAGAGCATTAGGCTGGTCAATGGATCATGGAAATTATCTCAGATTCCAACAGATACCAAATAATGGATTACTACTGAAGAAAATTTTATCATGCTGGAGAAATCAGGCAGTTCTTCCTTATTTCTGAAAGTATCTTCAGAAAATGCAAAAAGAGATGCATACTGTTTTGTAGCAAAGAAATACAGAATCAGTCTGGAAAATGTACAGACAGAGTAATCCTAAATTTCAACCAATCCTATATAAACTAATCTAATTGCCCACTTTCCCTTGTAGTATAAATAAATATTCAAATGTTAGTGCATCAAAAAGTGAAAGGACCATCAGGAAAGTGTGCTATGGCAGGGATACAACAGCAAAATGCATTCAAAAGAGTAAAGCATTTGAACCGCAGAAAATGCTCCCTCTGTTCTTATAACTATATACTGGTCTATATCCTTATTTTCTTTTAATTCTTACGTTTTTAACAGTGTTCATGCCCAAAACTGTCCAGGTGAGATTGGCGGCCATTTAATAGAATAAAAATAAATAAAAACTATTAAAAAATGAGTTCATGTTACTAATGGAAAGGAAATTATATATTAATGATCTCACACATGATCTGATAATTACCTCCAGACTCCATTTCTGTCGTTTATGTGCTGTGTGACAGTCTGATCTATTTTTCTCCTAGTTCTGTGTACTTTGTACTATCTAAATATAGGTAATATTTAATTTATAATTTAATGCAATTCATTTCCTGACCTCTTCTATTGGCTTCTAATAAACAAATGGTAAAATATGCCAAAATGACTCTACCACTACAAATTATATCTGTTTTAATTTATAATAGCTATGTCGCATTATTGCAATATTTGACATCAGATGTATATTTTAAGAGCTGTATCATATTTTACATAAATCTTCGCTTTGCTAGACTTTACATGAACTTGTGTGCATGCACATATGCACCCGCACATAAACACACACATACACAAATAAACATATATATTTGGAAAAATAAAAATAGCGAGAAGGTGGTAAAGCACAAAAGTGTAGATTGTGCTAATTAAGTTAAATTGTAAATGACTAATAACAAACCAGTGTTGCTGATAGCACAAACATCCTGTTGTTGCTGAGTTAATTAACACCTTTAGCAGAATGAAATCCAAACTGAGAAAAAACAATTATCACGTTAAGCTCCCCCTTTAAAATTCTTTTCTTCAAGAATAAGGTTTTTTAACAGCAAAAAGAGATAGTCCTCTGAAGCTAATTTTTTTCTTACTGATCCAAAATCAGTTGGGGGCGGGGGGGGGGGAATCTTCCTAGAAAGTTTTTCATTCTTCATGTGCAGTATACACATTATATAAACCCTGTCTTGCTAATTTGAGACCTTGAACTACAAATCAGTCAATACACCTAGCCCAATTATTTAATTTGTTAGCTTTATATCCAGCAGAGGGATCTGCAAACCATTCAGAGTAGCCCTTGGTGAGCTAGCCTAGCCCCACTGGGGATTTAAGGCAAGACCTTTGCTTTTCCTACCCTGTTTGATGACAAAACCCTCAGTCAATCACTTTTGGCCAAGTCCTGTGTGATAGAAGTGCTAACTTTCTAATACCTTAGAGCAGGGCTGTCAAAACTTGCGGCCCATGGGCCAGATGCAATATGTGCTGCCATGCTCACGCCCGGGTTAGCGAAGGGGGGGGGAGTCACAATATGTCATGTGATCCCGCTGTGATGATGCAACTTTGACACCCCTGCATTTAGTATGGATGAGGAATTATGGAAATGAAGAAGAGATGAGAACTTTTCTTTGGATGGGAATGGCTACTGAACACTTTGTAGGGTACCTCTGAGTCTATGTACATCTGTAATTTTTTTTTTAAATATAAAACCAGTTCCTACAATAAATACAGAATTCATAAAAAGAAATAAAACTGCATTACATTCAATTCATATACATTCAGTAGTAATATATCTCTAATTTAGAATACCATTCATAATTTTTGAACAATTATACTTTTAAATATTGATTTAAAGTACTGTATTAATTAGTTAATATAATTATTAAGAAACTCACAATGTTCCTGGTCTTGCTGTTGGAGGAGGACCTAGAGAAGTTAGGTTTGGAAGAAGAAGAAAAATATGTAAGATGCACTGTCATAGAAAAGAAAATTCACTTCCATCAACTGCTATGTTATTTTATTATCTAAATTTCTAAAATGAAAGCAATGATTATAACACATTCTGCCCTTATAAACAACCCTCTACCTTCCTTCTAATCAAGATTTTAATTTATTTAAGGAACTTATTGTACTGCATCTTGGGAAGTTCATAGCAACCAATGAAAAAACACAATATAAAAACATATCATGACCTCCCCGTTAGGACATCGGAATAACACATAATGTAAACCAGAGGTGGTATTCAGCAGGTTCTGACCAGTTCTGGAGAACCAGTAGTGGAAATTTTGAGTAGTTCCGAGAACTGGCAAATACCACCTCTGACTGAGATTTTACAGTATCCTTCCCCTGCCATGCCCACCAAGCCATGGACACAGAACCGGTAGTAAAAATTTTTTTGAATCCCACCACTGATGTAAACTCACTATCCTAGGCCAAAGCCTGAGAAAAAAGTCACGTCTTTACAGCTTTCTAGAACACTAAAAGGTTATCCCACCTCTGGTTCTTAGGTGGGAAGCTATTCCAAAGGTCCAGGGCAGCTATGGAGAAGGCTCTCATTCCATAGCTCATTACGTGACAACATTTGAGAAAAGGGTTCTTGTTTTCCAAGTTATAATTTACTTTGGCTTTAATACTTATTTCCTTGTTTTAATTTTTCCATTGAAGGCACATGTTTATGTTATTTAAAATATTAGATTATAGGAGACTGGGGCTATGAAGAATCACAGTGGCAATGTGTTTAACCTTTCCACTATGCAAACAAACACTTATAAAAATCCATTTGTCTCCAAGCTGGAAATCAACCTTTCTCAATGAATATCATACTTCCATTTTATAACAGGAATTTTTAAAAAAAGCACTATTGTTTTCCTTTCACCTAAATATACTCCATAATGTTCACTTTGGCCCTTCATAATAAACCTGCCCCTGCTTCCTTTACTGATTATTTAAAAATGATTGTTCATTTCATATTAGAACATACTTATATTGCAAATGGGAATGTTAAAATGTTTGGCTAAAGCTGTTATTTGAAAATTAGCAATTTGAACAAAGAACCGTACTGTTATTCTCAAAAGAAAATCTACTTTGGTTAAAATGGGATAGAATAATCTTTGAGCTATTCCCCTTTCTCAACCAAAAATTATATTAACATCCAGAGAGGTGTGTTAAAACCAATCTTTCCATGCATAGTAGTAGCAGCTTCTTACCAAATTTTACAAATAACACCCCAGTTGTAGAGACTGTTTTCCTGCCATTTGTCGCCACACACTGAAAATAGCCGGTGTCTGTGGTATCAAGGTTTCTTATTCGTAATCGGGACCCATAACTTGTGGCACGAAAGGATATCCTCCTGGGTTCTTGCACAACAGGAGCGTCATTTTTCAACCAACGCACCGTCGGAGAAGGGTTACCAGAAACCTTACAAAGCAGTTCTGCAGTCTGACCCAGAGTAGTGGTGATATTGTTCATTGGCTCATCAAGCGTTAAGAAATAATCTGCCAAATGCACAAAGAAAACGAGTTAGCTGAGGCAACTACATGTCTCTGCACATTATTCTCAAGAATCAAATTATTGTCTCTAAAAAGCAACTAAAGATCTGTTGCAACATAAATCTAGCAATAAACCAAAGGGAGTTTATATAACAGAGGATCACCATTTTACTAAAGCATGTGTAACACAGGGACTTTATTATAGTTTTATAATATAGTCCCTGTTTTAACTTGGGAAAAATGAAAATAATTCTAAATACATGTATTCCTCAACTTACAACGGTTCATTTAGTGATCATTCAAAGTTACAACAGTACTGTAAAACGTGACTTGTGACTATTTTTCACAGTTATGACCCTTGTAGCATCCCTATGATCATGTGATCGAAATTCAGATGCTTTGCAACTGATTCATATTCTTGCTGCTGGGTCCCAAGGTCATATGATCACCTTTTGCAACCTTTTGACAAGCAAAGTCAGTGGGGAACCCAGATTCAGTTAACAACCAGGTTACAAACTTATTAACTGCTGTGATTTACTTAACAACTGTGGCACAAGAAAAGTCATAAAATGGGGCAAAACTCCCTTAACAAATGTCTCACTTAACAACAAAAACGTTGGGCTCAATTGTGGTCTTAAGTTGAGGACTAACTGCAATTAAGTATTTTTCACTGGTTTCTTCAAATAAAAAAAATATCAGTAGAAAACATAGCATAAACCAGATTGCAAGTTACAATTTCCACAGAAACTCATCAACGATAGTTGATACGATTAATTTCTTTTCTGTACTATGTGGAAATGCACTTTAGACATGGTGACTTAGAAGTTTTAGGTTATAAAGAGGATAAATATCAGGTTTTCTGCATCTTGAATATGCGTTGATATATTGCCTGCACATCCTAGCTGGTGGGTTGCAGCAACATTTTTTCTCATGCCATTCATTTATTTCCCACCCTATTTCTTATTCCTTTTTAAGATTGCTTATCTTGAAAGCAGTTCTATGTTGGGCCTCTCTCTCTCTCTCTCCCTCCCTCCCCCCCTATACACACACACACACACACACACACACACACGGTATTCAGCTTTGTTCAACTATTTTCCCACGTCATTATAGTTGTGCTTTAAAAGCACAACTATAATGACGTGGGAAAATACCCGAACAAAGCTGAATACCATACATGTAAGTACCCACGAAAACTTAAGAAAACATATATATATATATATATATATGTGTGTGTGTGTGTGTGTGTGTGTGTGTGTGTGTGTGTGTGTGTGGTATTCAGCTTTGTTCAGGTATTCTCCCACGTCATTATAGTTGTGCTTTTAAAGTTGTAGCAACGTTTCAGCAGAATCTCATCTGCCATCATCAGGCTTCTGTATAGTGTTCGAACAAATACAGGCTTCTGTATAGTATTTGGGAAAATACCCGAAGAAAGCTGAATACCATACATATAAATACCCGCAAAAACTTAAGAAAACATACATACATACATACATACATACATGCATGTGTGTTTTCTTTGCTTGTCATACTTGACTATAAAAATGTAGTCCCATACATGCAGCCTTTGAAAGAACCAAAGCGCACACGAGGTATAATTAACATCGGCTTCTGCCAATAATTTCAGACAAGGTCCTCATTTTGGATCTGTTCTTCAAAGCCAGGAAGCAGCTTCTCAAGGGCTCAAAGCATTCCTATTATCAGGGACGTTGTAGATGATTAAAGGCTTTGGAGAGTGGAGCTACAGAGTGCCATGGGAGTTATTGATGTATAGTAGCTGTGTTGATTAATTGACAGTAATATATCTGATTTTCTGGTCAACCTTCTTTTAAACTTTTTCCTTCAATTTCCTTCCTTTTAAAAGTAAGCTGGTGTGCTTCAAAATAAACCACTTGTCTCTAGCAACATTTTTATTTACAATAATTCAAGAGGTCCCACATAGGCCCCCATTTACACTGCAGTTTATTCTGCACCGTTAACAGCTTTGCTGCCTCTCCCTACCCAATCTCTCTGCAAAAGCTATTTGCCACCCAGCTGACTTCAAAGTTAACAGCAATCCAAAGGGTCATGGGATAACCATTACTGGAACCTAAGTGGAGTAAGTCAGATGGCCAAAAACTTGCTTTGTTTCACAGTAAAGTCTTTTAAAAAATTTAATAATTCATTATTTACTGGCATGCCATAGTACTTTTCAGTTTCTTCCAACTGTGTATGAAAAGGGATAAGTATGACAGCTTTGGGTCTATCTAATAAAGGAGACTTCATTTGCCATTCATGATGACTGAATACTGGCTGTTCGCAACACACTTGATTATCAAAAGATGCGGTCACAGGATTTCTCCTCCAAATTTTGACTTGATCTGCAGATGTCCCTATTTGAGACCCTGCTCTATAACGGCATTATTAAGATAAGCCTATATTATGAAGATTATAATGCTGAACCATGTAGGTACTATTAGATTTTACAATTCTAGAATAACAGTTAAACCAATTTACCTAAAGTAGCCATGAATGCCAGCTTTGAAAATAAGTGGCAAAATTACTGTAAATCCAATCTCAATTTATACATTTTTCTACTGAAAAATTCTTCTTTATCTTAGTGGTTTTAAGGGTAGTAACTATAAATTAGAGTTAGCCTTCAGTTTATATAAACATCATCCATTTTTTGAGACTTGCTCTTTACTAAAAATAGTTTCATACAACTTTTTAATATTAAAATAAAAACACTTTAAACCATATATAGTAAGAGCCAAATGTATTTTTAATTTGTTAAAACAATTTGCTCCTGGTCTTTAACTCTGAATGTCAAATATTAACCCTCAAAGTGTTCTTTTTTTAATGCCTTAGTTGTAGCCACTGAACTCTGCTGACAGACTTTGATTGTAACAGGGCTAGTTGATGGCCCATAATGAACTTTTAAATTACTTGAGATAATATCTGGAAAACTCAGCCTTAAATATATTTCTGGCTTTTGACTGGGTGCCAATGCAAATACTGGAGATTATAAGTTACCTTCAGGAGTTTAAGAGTACAAACTGGAGGCACAAAATATAATACCTAAATAATAAATTGGTGTATTGGGCCAACTTTGTTTGTATATGTGTACGTGAGTGTGATGGAATGATTGCAGTTTTACTTTTATATACAAAATACATTTTATATATGTATAATATATACCCATGCTGAACTTATTTGCAATGTTTCCTTCTTGCCCTTGTTGAATGGGAAGCTTTTAGATATCTCATTGTTCTAAGGTATTTTTTCCATTAAAATTTTTAAATTTCAGAATTTGAATGTGTATACTTTTAACTAAGTTTGCTGAAGTCTCCATAAGAATTGTGTTTTAATGAAGAATTTTCTTTTTATATGATCACATTTGTAGAACCTACACCAACATGTTAAAATATTTACCTTTTTTGATACCCTCCAAATGTACTGAAACCAAAAATAGTAGGGAGTTACAGAATTTATAGTCAGGATTAGGAAGACAGCCCTATAAATACATTTTTCTAGGAATAATTTTTATACTTAGGTTTGCACTATTAACTTTACTGTTCATACATTGGCTGGACAGCACAAGTTATTTCACCATTTATATAATCAACCAAGCTACTATATCAACAACCAACAAGCTTCAGATTTCAACTATTCAATGTAGATGATGGGCAGGAAATCCTAAACACATACTTCACTATTTCTATGACTACATATGCTATGAACCTATGACTGTGCTCATAGGCAGAATACAAATGCTGTAAATAAATTATCTGCCAAGATTTGAAAATCAAAAGCAACTGAATCAGACTCCATGATATGTGACCTGCACTGAAACAGTAATACAACATAAAAAGTCTTTTAATCATTCATACAGGCTGAATTCTTAAAGGTAGTAACTGAATATATTTACGGAAAAAATAATTCATTTTTATATCAAGGCTGCCGTGCTGATCAGATAAGTGAGTATGCCAGGCAGTGTTTCTTGTGTGACATCATTGTGTACTACAACCATTGTTGTAGTTAATTATATCAGCAAGCAATTATATCCGCTATAACAACGCAAGCAGTAAGCTGTATTTCAATTTTAATGTTTTAACAAGTAAAATTTTAGTTTTTTAAATGGTACAATTATAGTACCTAACATTAGAACAAAACAGCATTACATCATTCAGCCTTAAAGCTAAGGTGTATGAAATGAAAAACTATCAAGAGATCAAACAGGCTCTTGCTTAATTGTATTTAATTGTTTATGCAGAACTATCTAAGAGCACCCAGATTGCTACCATTGCATCAGATTTAATAAAAAGTGTTTCTGTCCAAATTGCTATGCTTGCAGGGGCTGCATCCAATGGCATATTTGGATGGCCCAATTCCAAGAATGGAATAGGATCTGTCTGGGTAAACAGGTTTCTCTTCTTTCTTCAGTTTCTCAAATCTGTTCTGGAAAGATGTATATGTGGAATGAGGTGAAGAGGGACATGAGCATGATGGTGCATTGCACAGAGAGAAGTCCCTTCATATCATTTTAAATATAGATACGTGGTCTGAATTTCAGTTCATTCCCAAGCATAAGACAGGATTTTGCACGTAGCAGAAATAAAATAGAGGGAGAAAAGTGATTAGTTTTCATATGAGGAATTATATCCAGAAATAACAAGAAGGTAACTGTCAATTAAAGGGATTCTAATGAGTAACAATGTTTCTTTTATTAATTTTATAAGGTGATCTGCATATTCTTACAGTCAGCTTCTTAAACAATTCCTTCCCTTAATGCTACCGATAGAACATTTCTTTTTTCTCCAGCTTTTTCTAGACAAATTTCTCTGACTGACCGCTAATGTTAGCCTTTCTTTTAGTTATCATTCAAAGGCCAAATAGGTCACCCATATGGTTTCATATAGTTGCATTAAGTAAACTCCAAACAGGCCATGCTTCCTTGCCATCTATGACATAACTTTAAAAGACCATGTGTGAGAAATCTTTTTGCATCCATCTTGTGATAAACACTT